TCAGCAGATGACATGGTGGTTAAGGCACTAGACTCTTACATGGCCAACTGTGGTTCAAGTCCCGGACCCAGCAGCTTAAAACTTATACCGGCCGTGTGTGCTCAAATCCCAAGAGAAGAACGGAGGAGGGATTGTGACGTGGCAGTTCCCCCTAGGGGGTGATTTCTCGTCTCTCCAGTGGGTGCTTGTGCCTTACAGCAAAAATCTCTCTCTCTCAAAAAAAAAGTTTTTTAAAAGAACCATTTGTTTAATTTTATTTATTATTTGACAAGACAGAAACAGAGAGAGGGAAAGCAAGAAAGCAAGCTGCCACGTCCAGGACTCAAACTGCTGTCAACCATATGTGGGAGTCCAGTGCCTTAACGACCATGCCAGCTACTAGCCCCATGAAATGTTTTAAATTTGTAGTGAAGAAAAGAAAAGCGTGTGGGCCCAAAGCAGAGACTCAGCCAGGGGAGGGAAATCGACCACCCAGGGGGCCCGAGGTGACGCCCAGGCCTGGGCTTGTCCTCCTGCGTACCTGCATGAGCACCTTCAGTCTATCCAGGGGGGCTGTGCAGGTTCTGGAGACGGCCCCTGCCCCACCTCCTGCCACCAGGTGTCTCCACCACATCCCCGTCTGCCTCTCTTCCACTGTGAACTCGTCGGGGACGGTCAGGTTCTCACCCACATCGAAGATCTAAGAACAGCAAAGAGAAAACCAGCCTTACTTGACTCTGGCTCAGTAAAGCTGCTGGCAGCGAGCACCCCCACCACTTCCACCCTCTGGAGAAGCCACAGGCTGGTGAGTGCCAAGGCCTCTGGAAGGTGGGCCGGGGCCTTTGCCTCATCTCTGTGAAGACGGCAGGTATGCAGGCCTGCGGCGGCCTTCGAGAGGCCCAGGCCTGGAGGTGAACTGGGCCCAGCTGGAAGAGGCCGGTTACAAAACCATCAGGCAGCCCTTTCAAAGGTTGCCAGGAGCTCCTGCAAGAACAGCTTACAGGGCATTTTGGGTAGGATCACCAGGCTGGCCAAGCTGAAAGGATCAAGTCAGGGGTAAAAAACCTTTCCGCAACCCGATGCGTAACCAGATCCTGCTGGCAGAATGTTATGCAAGGCCTCAGCAAACAGGAGGGCTGGGCCGCCTGTGGCCTGCGTAAGACCTTGCCCCAGGTGGCCTCCCTGGACAGCCTCCAGGCTGGTCGGAGCCAGATCTGCTCAGATCCCAGGCTGCAGGCAGACTCAGTCAGCTGCCCCACACCCTGCAGCCTCCACCTCACCTCTCCAGGCAAGCCCCGGCCCAGCAGTGCAAGGGGTACCCTGGCCGCCCATCATGGGGAGTGCAGCAGGGACCAGCAGGGACAGAGCAAGCAGGGCGGTCAGTGTAGACCCACATATCCGATGTGGAAACACAGCTCACGGGGTCAAAGGGCAGTGCGTATGTGACAGCAGGGCCACGCTCTTTGGCCAGAGAGAAACACCACCAAAAAATAAGGAAAATAAGGTAGTGGGGGCCACCTGACAGCTCCACATAGAGGAATTTCTATCCCCAGCCCCCAGAGGGTGGCTCGTGCCTGCTGGAGGAGAACAAGAGCACTGGCGGCCAGAGACAACTGGGGTGGACCCCGAAGAACAGGCAGCAAATGGGCGCAGAAGGCACCCTGCAGAGGGGACCTCAGGGTTGGAGGGGGCGTGTGGGTGTCTCTGCCGGGCTGGCAGAGCACGGGACAGTCTTGCTGTTGGAGAGAAGACAGCACCCCAGCCCTGCCCCTGGGAGGGGATGACTGAAGCAGGGCAAAGGGGCCTGTGAATGGCTGATGTGGAAAGTGAGTCCAGGGCTGGGAGAGGCCTCACCGTGGAATGCTTCCAGTACAGGATGATCTCGGGGATGTTCTCCACGGGGTGCAGGAGGTGATAGTCCCTCCACTCGTTCCAGTCGATGGTCATCGTGCCATTTTTGTCCATGCTGCAGGACAGAGGCACGGTCACCCACGTGTAAACACACCCATCCATCAGCCATGCTTCCCACTGCCAGGTGGGCCCAGCCAGGCGCCATGGCCCCTGGTGGCACCGCACCCCACACTGCACAGGAACGGAAACAGTGGCCCGCGAGGACCCTGTTCTAGTCAGGCACAGAAGCCAGGGCAGGAGGCAGTCCCCGAGTGACACGATACTTACTAGGTGACAGGGCCCCAGAAGTGGCCCGTCCGTATTCTGACAGACAGACAAAGGAGGATGCAGAGGAAAGAGGAGAAACAACACCGATGAGTGCTCTGAGCAGACGTTAGCGAAGCAAGCGCACACCCGAGGACTCGAGACGGCACAGCACGAGCACGGCCCCGCCCACGCGACCACCCCTGGGAGTGGGCCCAGAGGCTGGGGGTCCACAGGACCACCCGGCACTGGGCCTCAGGATCTTGGAAAGGCCCAGCCGGGACAGATGTGGCCGCTGGGGTTAATCCATGCCATTTGCAGTCACCACAGCTCACCAGTGAGCTACCTCCGGGGGCAGCAAGGCACAGGCCTGGGGGAGAAATCCACCCTAGACCAGGGCTGTGGAGCACGCCCTTCTCCCCTCCCCGACAGGCAGCAAAGGTGTTCCCTGCAGCTTTCGCCTACTTGAAACAGCCCCAACTAGTCTCTTCTCTTCATGGGTCACTGATGCAGGGGCACAATTCCAGGCCTCAGTGATTCTTTCTAAGAGAGCCGGCCTGCACACCTGGGGGAGGCGGCCTCTTGGGGTTAATACTCATGCTTCCAAACCAAGTGCAGAGAAGTGTGGCCGACACGGTCAGTGGCACCAGAGCTGGCCCCGCAGACTCTTTCGCCACACTTTTGTGAAACTAGACACAGGCTGGCTGCATCCTCACCTCTTGAGAATCTTCTCTGCTTGCTGCTCAGAAATCTTGACTCCCAGGTCCCGCAGGGACTGCATGATCTCCTGGGCGTCGATCCGTCCTGCAATGACAGGCCGTGAGCAGGGCCGGCAGGCAGAGTGCCCGGGCCGGGCTAGCCACAGTCCTACGGATGATGCTCACCATCATTCTTTTTGTCCAAACTCTTAAACACCAGCCTCAGTTTCTTCTCATGGTCTTGGAGGTAGTGGACAAACTCTTCGAAGTCAAGCTGCCCGTCGAGGTCCTTGTCCCCAGCTTGCACGATTTTCTGTAAGACAAGAGGAGGGCTGTCGGGGTCAGCTCATGTGCCAGCCTTGGCTTGTCCCTCGTGGGCCCCATCCCAGGAGACAACAGTGCTGATCTGAGAACAGAGGCGGCCCATTTACCCACGATGCCCCCAGGCCTTCTCCCAAAGCATGTGCCAGAGCCACCACTTGACTCTCCGAGCATTGGCCGGGACCCAAGCGAGCATCCATCTCACTTCCTCACAAGCAGGGACTGAAAGGATCCCCTGGGAGAAGCCTGCTGATGAGGTCCACAGGGCGCCTGGCCCGTTCCACTAGCAAGTGTCGCAAAGACTAGCTTGTCTTTCAGCCAGGGCCAGCTCCTGGGCTCCCCACACGCTCCCTGCCGAGATGTGGGTGGCTTGGAAGCCAGATCCCTCGGGAACTCTGCAGCTGGCTCCTTTTATCCCAAGGATGGCACTGGCCAAGAGCAATCTGGTGGCCAGGATGAAGACATGCCAAAGCCTGCTCGGCAGCATCCCTGCCAGAGAGTGCCCTGAGGGCTGGAGAAGGGATGGGAGCCGAGGGCAGCCCCTCCTGGCATGTGCTCGATGGCATCGCTACCCCCCCGATCTCAGGCCAGATGAGCGCCAACCCTGCTCCCTCATCCGTGCACTGAAAACCAGGGCGGCTCTGCTCAAAACTCAGCTACCCAAGAAGGCCATGAGGTCCAAGGTTCTGTACCAGCTCTTAGGAGGCTCTTTGTTCAGCGGCTCTAATCGCGTCTGGATGCTTGGCAACTGGAATTCCCCCGCAAGAGAGCGAGCGTTTCCTTAGTGCTTAGCACATGCTACCAACTGAGTCCTCCTAAGCAGCTCTGGGGGTGAGTAACCCCACTTTACAGGGCCAAAGCTAAGTATTTATGCAAGACCACACAGCTAGGGAGGGGTGGGCAGATTCAAGTCAGGCCTGCTGGACTTCCAAGTCACTCCCTTGAGATCCTGTTGCCACCCAAGAATGTGGGGGACAGATGTGAGTCACCCCAACTCAGCAACACCCCAAATCTGGAACCCAAAACTAGAACTGAGATCCTAAGGAAAATGGTTCTGGCCATCCTGTTCCCTGGTCCTCTCAGTGAGAGATCCCTCACTACCCACACGTTGCTGTGGGTGCCAAAGCCTTTCCAGCCAGTTGGGGATAGGAGCTTGGAAGCCCAGTGGCTGCTTGCACTCTCAAAGGACTCCCACCTGGTTTCCTTCTTAGACAACACCTGCTCACCCGCTGGCTCTTTGTGATCCCTCAGCCAAGGGTGCTGAGAGGAGAGAGGCCCTGCGACCTAGTGCAGCCAGAGGAATAAAGCAGGGGTGGGCTGGAACGCGGGCCACGTTCTACCTGCTGTCTGAGGTTGACTTCCTGGGGACACCTGTGCTCTCGGCCAAGAGCCAGGCAGATTACGCAGAGGGTGATCGATCACTCCAGATACCGGCAGGAGTGGAAGAGTCTACATGCCACTTAGGGAGGAGACGAACATTACGCCTGCCACCAGGGCAACCACGTGCCCTCTCAGATGGGAGCCCCGTGACACAGACAACCCAAGGATGTTCCCGCTGCAGCCGACTCCGAAACAGCCTCGAAGTGCTTGCTTCCAAACTCAGAGACCAGGACAGCTCTGGCCCTTCCTAGGACACAGTGCCCAGTGCCTGACCTTGGCCACCATCGTGAGCACGGGGGTCAGCACAGATCCGACTGACGAGGAAGCCAGGGAGGCAAGAGATGCTCCCTCCCACCCCACCCCCCACCAGTTTCTGCAGCCTCCCTGCTCCGCACAGAGCGGGGCACAGCGCTCTGCCACCTCCCCCTCCCCCTGTGCCACTGGCTTGTCCCTGCCTCCCCCACTTCCGGACCCTGCACTTCTCAGGAACCCCCCGCTCCCTACATCATCCTCCCGGGGAAAGAGGTCCTTC